AGTTGTTCCAAATACCTAACGGGCAATTCCATGTATATATTTAGTATAAGGGTTCAATATTCTCAGGTGTTAGAATTAACAAATGTTCAAAGAAAACTAAACCTCACTGCAAAGGCTAGATTATCCATGCTTAGAGAGGAAAGCATGACCTTCACATAAAAAAGTAATAATCTTGTGAATTAAAAAAGAATTCAGGCCATAGATTTACTCATCAACTTGAAATTAGATTTCATTACTGTTAAATGACAGAACACAGTATTATTAAACACTGACACGGATTAACACTTAATACTATAGCACTGTTTGTATCAGCCTGTCTTTTCACCTTTTAAAGCCTTCTTAATTTTTCATTTCCTTCATACTTTCTCTTTTTCACAATCAACCATTTTTCTCTTTCCCTTCTGTGTGTATCAAGCTGTTGCTTTCCTTCTCTCTTATTTCTCTTTTCATACATATTTTTTCACTTTCTTTTTTTTATCTCAGTAGATATATAGATATATTTTTCTTGCAATTCCTCTCTCTCTCTCTACCAGGAATCTCAAACTCTCCTTCTGCCTTCTTGTTTTCCCTTTCTCTCTTTTTCTCATCCTTTACTTCCCTTTCCCTTTCTCTCACTTTCATATTACATTTCTCTCTCTGTTTCACTCTCTATTTTTCTCTTCCTCTGTCTCATTTCCTACTTTTCTCTCCCATTCTCCTCTTCTATTATCCTCTCGCTTCTACCTCTCTCCCCCTCTCTTTCTCATCTACTTCTGTCATTCTCTTTCATCTACTTCCTTCTCACTCTCTACTTCTCTCTTTACTCCGTCTCTCTCTCTTTCTCTCACTTCCTCCCTCACTCTCTCCTCCACTCCCCATCTTCCTCGAAAAATACCCAGCAATGCCCGTCCCTTCCCCTAATCCCTCTTTCTCGGCTCCTTCCCCCTTCCCTGATCACTCTTTCTCGGCTCCTTCCCCTAATCCCTCTTTCTCGGCTCCTTCCCCCTTCCCTCTTTCTCGGCTCCTTCTCCCTCCCCTAATCCCTCTTTCTTTCTCCTTCTTTCTCCCCTATCCCTCTTTCTCGGCTCCTTCTCCCTCCCCTAATCCCTCTTTCTCTCTCCTTCTTTCTCCCCTAATCCCTCTTTCTCGGCTCCTTCTCCCATCCCTAATCCCTCTTTCTCGGCTCCTTCCCCCTTCCCTCTTTCTCGGCTCTTTCCCCCGTCCCTAATCCCTCTTTCTCGGCTCCTTCCCCGTTCCCTAATCCCTCTTTCTCGGCTCCTTCTCCCTCCCCCTCTTTCACGCTCTGACAACTTGTTGAACTCGCCCGTCGCTCGGCTCACCTCTTCCCCTCTCACATAACACGCAACTCGCAGGCTTCTACGCGTTACAGATAACAGGAGAGAGATGGGAGGACGTCTGTGCTCGGGTGTCGCGGCGTGTCGTTCGTGCCCGGGGGGGTGTAAGGCATTTAAAGCACTGGAGAAACGTGAATGACAAAACTTTTCACTTCCGGAGGAGGAGGAGGAGGAGGTGGGAGCGGAAGGGGGGCGGACCAACCGAAACGTTTCTTTAGTCTTTTACCCATTCTCCCTCTCTCATTCATGGCTGTCTACGCTCTCTTCTACCTTACCTGTCATGCGACGGCGGGCTGCGGAGTTGGAAGAGAGTGTGTGGCGCGTGTTGGGCCGCAAAACACGCACGTGCATCACGCAAATGTCAAGCCCATTGATTCCCTTCACGGAGCGACTGCGGCTGCCATCTCGCGGCGCCGAAGCAACCCTCCTGCGCCCGCCGGGTTCAAACGGGGAAGTGCGCGCCTCTCCGCTAAGATTTCGCGTTTTGTTTGTGGTTGAGCTTTAATGGCATTGTTTCCTTCATTCAAACTAGGGTATGAAAATGTTTAAGAGACTGGGCACCAAATATTCGCAAGCGGAAGTGCGCTCTTCAAAGTGACCTCCAGTAAATAAACTCCATGTTTATTTACTGGAGATCATCAACTCAGAATATCAAATGAAATAGCCAAAAGTCAAAAACGAATAGCATTTCACACGGTGAAGTTGACTGAGCCAAAAGAAAGCGCATTTCACAAATAGAATGGTGGACACGTAGAAATAACCTGTCACACTCTGCAGTGCCAGCCAGTCACGTTATATCTGTCGTAAAATACCTAGTCAGAACATGGGGAAGCCACCCTGTAATGTATGACCATTAAGATTCATTCATAAGTCATTCATTAACACATACAGAGCAATCTGGATTCCTGCGTTCCACAACGACATAGACGGACACACTATTATGCCGATTTGGTTGTTGATTATGCTATTTTATTCTTGGATTCAGCTAATATATCTATTCAACCGTAAATATGGGTCCCCTGTAATTTGTGAGATATGTATTTAGGCACTTGTTGTTCCATTTTGTTATTATTTTTGAAGTTAGGACACGGCGATCCTCTAAATTTAGCGAAACTGGAGGATTAGAGACGAGAGTACGGCAGAGTAGGTTTAGCACTTTTGCGCTATGCGAGGGGCATTGGTGGCACTATTTTTGCAATCGGTGCCATTAGGCTGGATTGAGTTAGAGAAGGTTAGGTTAGGTTTGGTTAGGTTAGGTTAGGTTAGTTTAGGTTTGATTAGTTTAGGTAAGGTTAAGGCGCAGAAAAGATATCATTTCAACTTGATTCAAAGTCCGACCCTCTTCGTTAAACCTTCACGTGTATATAACTTTAATTATACCGTTTCAGCTGTCGTCCTTGGAGTAAAGAAACGATAATCTTCCAAATCCAATGTGGCCATATATCTATCTAAGTAGGCCACACTTAAAACGGAAGTATGCCATTCCCGATCACTAGGAAGTAGTGGTACTTTTTTTCCTTAATCTCATAGACATAACAACTTGGTATATTAAAGTATAAATATATTCTGGGAAACACTTACCGCACTTACAATACTTCGGTTTGTTCAATAATGCTAAAGCGAATTTAGCCGCTTTAACCACAACACCGTAATACTCGAAGGAAAGGACTTTAAAAAACCACAGAAAGGGGGAAAAAATATAGTATAATTAGCCATACCCTACTTCTTTCATTGAGTAAACATGATACATTCTGTGAACGCATTTATGCTGCCAAGCTATTCATAGACATGATTGCTAAGCCTAAAGTCGAAAGTTAAATACCCAAGTATAGAACGTCAGACATGATATGCTATAAACTTCGTTCATTTTATTTCCTCCTTAATGAGTGTAGCTTTCTCGTAGCTTTCATGACTCATAAACGTAACTGTAGATCACAGACAACTATGCTAGATGCAAACAAACATGATTAATGACTTGAGATGTGGACACAGAAAATATTTATAAAAAAAGAAAAAAGAAAACGTTGAATTAGAAGAGGGGATACTTTTGATGAATCGAAAAAGATATATATTTTTTTATCAAGACAAGTAAGAAATGTTTACTGTGTGTAAGGAATTGTAGCAATAAATAAAAGACGTCTGCAGAACATCGTCCAAACAGTATGAAGCTGTTCTTCATCCTGAAGTGATTAATGTCTTTGAGTGACGCCCATAGTGGGTTATTTACTGGTCGGAAATGGGCGGGGAGAGGTGGAATAACTGTCTCCTCGCTCGCGTAGATATCTTCGTAAAGTATCTTCGGATTCTATTCCTCTCTCTCTCTCTCTCTCTCTCTCTCTCTCTCTCTCTCTCTCTCTCTCTCTCTCTCTCTCTCTCTCTCTCTCTCCCTCCCATCCCCCCCCCCCCTCTCTCTCTCTCTCTCTCTCTCTCTCTCTCTCTCTCTCTCTCTCTCTCTCAGACACACACACACACACACACACACACACACACACACACACACACACACACACACACACACACACACACGTACGTACACACAACAGATCAGGCATACCGATGTGTGACGAAAACATGTTCTCGGCCATCTGCTGCGAACGGAGGAAAGGGAGAGGGAGAGGGAGAGGGCGAATGGGAGGGGGGAGAAGGAGTGAGGGGATGGGGATGGGGATGGTGAGGGGGGCGAGGGGGGAGTAGGAGAATGAGGGAGGGGGGTGAAGGGGAGGGAGAGAGAGAGAGAGAGAGAGAGAGAGAGAGAGAGAGAGAGAGAGAGAGAGAGAGAGAGAGAGAGAGAGAGAGAGAGAGAGAGAAAGAGAGAGAGAGAGAGAGAGAAAGAGAGAGTGAGAGAGAGAGAGAGAGAGAGAGAGAGAGAGAGAGAGAGAGAGAGAGAGAGAGAGAGAGAGAGAGAGAGAAAGTCCAAGTAAAGCATAGACATATAGCGAACACGACGTAAAACAACAATCATGCCTGTCGAAACGCCAAAATAACCTGGTTTTGGTTTTGCAGTGAAGTGGAATCGCATTCTCACATTTCGTCATACTTTAAAAAAAATATATTTTCTTATTTTATCATTACCTCATAAAAAAAGAAAAAGGAAAAGAAAAGAAAAAAAATATATATACATATATATATATATATATATATATATATATATATATATATATATATATATATATATATATATATATATATATATAATCCTCTATTTTTTCCCATGAAGACAACTATAATGTTAACAACAATGAACTTTTGTGAAGGACGATTCTCTACGTAATATAACGCCAGAGACAATGATATGATAGAGTTACGTATCGCATTTACAGAAGAGTTTAGACTCCCCGCTCTATACACTACGCGACCTGGCGAAGGCTTCGAAATGTAAGGCAAAATATCAGACGTTATCAATTTCAATATAAGAACGGTTTTATTATATTTCCACGGTTATTCGATGGTTCAAAACATAATCTAATCGCGCAATAAGATATAATAATAGTGTTAATGATAATAATTCATTTGAGATCGTTAAAAAAACTGGCTATTTCTGTATTAACGATATCACTTAGATGATCTTGGTGTCAGGTTAAGATGCATAAAAAGTTGCAGCAAGTGTATCGTACTTCATAAAAGCAACAGCTGCCGCATATTATTTAATTTATTTAATTGACTAACCTGGTATGAAGAGGAATGACACTGGTTGTCATGTCAGAGGTCGGCCGTGTATCCTGTCAGGAAGAGAGAGAAAAAAAAGGTTGAATTATAACTCGTTACATCATCACCATCATTACATCGAAATCATCAACACTACCTCCGTCATCATCACCCACACCACCATACTATCATCATCATCATGGCAATCACTACCACCGTCACCATCATTGTCATCACCATCACCATCATCATCATCTTCATAATATTATCATCTTTACAATAATAATAATAATAATAATGATAATAATAATAATAATAATAATAATAATGATAATGATAAAAATGATAATAATAATAATAATAGTAATAATAATAATAATAACAATAATGATTATAACAATAATGGTAATAATTATAATAATAATAATAACAACAAAAACAGAAATAACAACAACAATAATAATAATAACAGTAGTAATAAAAAGACTATTGCACATCCTGTTATCTAGTCCCATCATGAGACCACTCGATTACTCGTATGTAAAGACTGAAAAAAATCTTTCCGTTCCGTACCTTCCAAAATAGTTCGTCACCACCATTTGCCAATATGACACGAGGTCCTCAGTACGAGTAAATAAAAACACTTCTGTCGCTAACGTAATTCAGCCTATTCGAGACACCTGTCAATAATATGTCAGTCACGCAATGTCATTTGTAATAATACCCTTGTATTCAATATATTCTTCACATACTCTGCAATTTAGTATATTTTACACGTGAGTTGGGTAACCGCCTGTGTATATGTACGAGCGGCCGGATGTGCGTCACTTTAGCATATATCCGTTTACGATATGATTTGATTATAATGATAACAGTCATAATATAAATGATAACAATATCAACAACAGAAATAATAACAATATCAATAACAGAAGTGATAACAGTGTAATAGTGATGATAATGCTGTGGGTATAATAAAACAATATCAATAATAATTATTATTATGATAATGATTATGATGATAATGGAAAATATAATAATGATAATAATAATAGTAAGAACAATAATAACAATGAAAATTATTATAGTAATAATAAAAATGATGTTGATATTAATAAAAATAATGAAGATGATGATGATGATAATGATAGTAATAGTAGCAGTAGTAGTAGTAGAAGTAGAAGCAGTAGTAGTAATAAGAATGATAATAATAACAATAGTGACCATAACAATTATTATCATAACAGCAATAACAATAATGTTAATAATGATAATAAAATAATATTAATAATGATAATAATAATTCTAAAAGTAATAATGATGATAGTAATAACAAAATAATAATAATAACAATTTAAAAAATAGTAACAGCAATAGTAATAATAATAACGATGATGCTGTTGATAATAATAATAATAATAATGATAATAATAATAATAATATAATTTATGATGATGATGATGGTGATGATAACAATAACAATAATGATAATGATAATGATAATAATAATAATAATAACAACAGTAGCAGCAACAACAACAACAATAATAACAACAATAATCATGATGATGATAACAGTTGTGGTAATAATGAAATTGATGATGATGATAATGATGATAACAATAAAAACAATAATAATAACATCAACGATATTGATAATGATGATGATAATGGAAATAATAATATTAAAATAATAATAATAATGATAATAATAGTAATAATAAGATAACGATAACAATAGAAACGATGATAATAATAGTAGCAGTAGTAGTAATAGCAGCAGTTGTAGTAGTAGTTGGTTGTAGTAATAGTAGCAACTGTGGTAGTGGTAGCAGTAGTAATGATGATAATCAATACCAATAATAATAATGATTAGAGTAATAACAATCATTACGATATTGATAAAAACAATAATGAACATGATGATGATGAAAGTAATAGTAATCATAATAATAATAGCAACAATAATAATGACTTTGATAATAACAGCAATAGCAGCAGTAGTAGATGTATTAATAATGATGATAATTGTAATGATGACGATGAAAATCACAATGATGAATACAGTGAAAATCACAACCATCATCACCAACACCACAACGGAATCTCTCGCTTTGAAGAGCACGAGGCGCCATGCACAGGAGGACGCCATGAGTTCGCTGAAGATGGGCGCGTTGCCAGAGTGGTTCCGGAATATCTTTTCTAGAAGGAATAGTGACTTTGGGGAAGACGATTAGCATAAAGTTTGGGACGAAGAAGAAGATATTCACATCACGTTTTTATTTCAAGTAGAGAACGAAATCATTTCTGGAAAGCTGTGTTGGTACAGGAGTTTTTTTTCGGTAAACTTTACGTCTAGCTTCCATAATTAATATTTTTCTTATTCATTTTTCTAATTGTCATTTCCTCTTTCTCTAATTACCGTTTGTTTTCCTTACCATGTAGATTTTTGTATCGCTTTACATTCTTCCCAAAATTTAATTGCTTTACAAATTATACTTTCTTTAAAAATCTTCAGAAATCTTCTACTACATTCTCCTTAGCATCAAGCGAATACGTGTTAAAAATCATTAACATACTTCAAAACCGTTTGCGCTATATTCTCCTTAGGATCTAGCGAATTCTTACAATAAAAAAGACTCATTAATTTACTGCCGCTAACTTCCCCTAAGCACGTGGAAAAGAAAAAAAACATAATAATAAGAAAAAAATTAACATACTTCTAAAACTTTCACGCTACATTCTCGTTACCAACTACCGAATGAGCATAAAAAAATCATACCATCATTAATCTTCCTTTAAGATAAACCTTTCCCGCTACATTCCCCTTAGCAGCGCACATCCTTATCTCTGTCCCCAACGTTATCTCCCGAATCCAAGTGCACTCTCCCCGCGCCGAGGTCCTCCGAGGGCGTGCCGATCGATCGACAAGAGAGGACGAGAGTCAAACCAGGTTCCTCTGCCTTCTGGAGGAGGTCGGGTCTTCCCGTTTCCCCCCGTGAAGTTTTGTTCAATAGTGACTTTGGGGAAGACGATTAGCATAAAGTTTGGGACGAAGAAGAAGACATTCACATCAAGTTTTATTTCAAGTAGAGAACGAAATAATTTCTGGAAAGCTGTCTTGGTACAGGAGTTTTTTTTTCGGTAAACTTTACGTGTAGCTTCCATAATTAATATTTTTTGATTCATTATTCTAATTATCATTTCCTCTTTCTCTAATTACCGTTTGTTTTCCTTACCATGTAGATTTTTGTATCGCTTTACATTCTTTCCAAAATTTAATTGCTTTACAAAATATACTTTCTTTAAAAATCTTCAGAATTCTTCTACTACATTCTCCTTAGCATCAAGCGAATACGTGTTAAAAATCATTAACATACTTCAAAACCGTTTGCGCTATATTCTCCTTAGGATCTAGCGAATTCTTACAATAAAAAAGACTCATTAATTTACTGCCGCTAACTTCCCCTAAGCACGTGGAAAAGAAAAAAAACATAATAATAAGAAAAAAATTAACATACTTCTAAAACTTTCACGCTACATTCTCGTTACCAACTACCGAATGAGCATAAAAAATCATACCATCATTAATCTTCCTTTAAGATAAACCTTTCCCGCTACATTCCCCTTAGCAGCGCACATCCTTATCTCTGTCCCCAACGTTATCTCCCGAATCCAAGTGCACTCTCCCCGCGCCGAGGTCCTCCGAGGGCGTGCCGATCGATCGACAAGAGAGGACGAGAGTCAAACCAGGTTCCTCTGCCTTCTGGAGGAGGTCGGGTCTTCCCGTTTCCCCCCGTGAAGTTTTGTTCCCTTCCTGTCTCGGTTTCCTGTTTTGCTCTTTTCTCTGCCCTCGATCTTTCTTTCTTTGCTTCTGTCTCTGTCTGTTGGTCTATCTGTCTGTGTCTTTCTCTCTCTTACCTTCGTTTGGTTTTCCTTTATTTTGCTCGACATTATTTTATGTGACGTTTCAAGCTCGTATCAAATAACATTTATCGTCATTTAAATGGACCAGCACACGCGCGCACAAAGACAGGCGTATTAGTACGCACACGTACTTAATTACGCAAACTCACACACATGCGCGTGCGGAAACATACGTGTATTATCCACACACGCAGCAAACACTAATATACTTAAACATATCTAAAACCAGCAAAATCTCAGCCTTTTCTAGAAGGAATAGTGACTTTGGGGAAGACGATTAGCATAAAGTCTGGGACGAAGAAGAAGACATTCACATCACGTTTTTATTTCATACCTGCGTTTGACTTCTCAAGGCGATATGTCCTTTTCTCGGGCTCGAGCAAGCAGTCAGAGCGCAGGCATTTTTACGTCTGCCGCGACGAGGAATTGAACCCGGGACCACAAGGGTCGGAGTCCAGTGCTCTAACCACTGAGCTATCACGGCAGTCTTACACACACACATATATACTTACATCATGCATATATATATATATATATATATATATATATATATATATATATATATATATATATATACGTGTGTGTGTGTGTGTGTGTGTGTGTGTGTGTGCGTGTGTGTATTATACATATATCATACATACACACACACACACACACATATATACATATATATATATATATATATATATATATATATATATATATATATATATATACATATATATATATATATATATATATATATATATGTATATATAGATATATACATACATATATATATATATATATATATATATATATATATATATATATATATATATATATAAATATATGTATATATATATATATATATATATATATATATATACATATATATATATATATATATATATATATATATATATATATATATATATATATATATATATATATATATGTATGTATATATATGTATATATATATATATATATATATATATATATATATATATATATATATATATATATATATATATATATACATACATAATAGACATACATATCTATATATATAAATATATATATATATATATATATATATATATATATATATATATATATATATATATGTATGTATATTATATATATATATATATATATATATATAT